TATATATATATATATATAAGTACACAGTGAAAGTGAGTGTCGACACGGTAATTAGACAGCCTATAGTGATATCAATCACACTGGCAATTAGCCAGTTCCTCCACTTCAAACATTAAACAATGGTGTTCTATTGGTACCAGCACCTATCTCTCCTGCAATACTAATATGTACACCACACCAGACAGCATGCGAACGTACCGCCTGCCAATTGATCGTCACCTCCGCATCGGCAATCACGCCGCCTGTATATAGCGCTGTGGACACGGTTACTTTAACCTTCTCCCCGGGTCGCGTCACTTCTTGTGGTGCTTTAAGGCTGAGAACAGCTATATATTTCATAAACAAAGATACAAGTGTCAGAACAATTAATATATTTCACACTTACAGATGATGTGCTGATGAGTGTGGTCAGTTGCTTGTGAGTAAGCGTGAAGCCCTGCGAGAAGTTGACAAGTGTGTGTACAGCAGTATGTATGTGAAAGGGCAAAGGATGTACTCAACAGAATAAAAACCCACACCAAAGAACGCTCAATTAGAACTCACCGGTCGGTATGCGAGGGTCTGCCACAGTGTACATCGCCGCGCCACTACCGCCAACAACCCCAGCAGCACTATTGCCAGGACTATAGATCAAGTACAGATTGTACGATCCTTGCTTGGCATCATCAGCAACGTCGAAAGTCGTATCAAACGTTCCAAACTCTGCAGGGTTGATGTACGGGAAGGAAAGGTATATAAGCGGAAGACGACATGGACATTGATCTGTGCTAGATATGGTACCAGTGTCCTTGAGCTATGTATACCGATAACAGCATGCGCACATAGCGTGTCTATTCCCAAGCTCAATTGGCAATACTACTACCGTGGATTGTCCAATCTTTAACCTGCAGAGATATTCATCCCACACATGAGTTTCGTAGCTAAGGAAATGTGTCTATTAGGTTATATATAAATATGAATGTTATTGGCAATGGCAGGCAAGCCCACGTAACAACGAAATCCTTAAACCTGAAGTACTCCGATGTCACCCCTCCCATCTCCTACATCACTGCTACATACAAAGTAAGTATAGATACAGCATACGTGGGTACATCTGTATGTGACTATACACACTCAAAAAACCGTCCCCCTGCCCCTGACGCACACTCTACACCTACCTTCATCGACCACAACGGGATACAACTCATTATATCCGTCAGACCCCGTCACTCGCAGCTGAAAGCCCTCGGGTATGTCACTACCATCCCCACTTCCTCCACTGGGCATGGGCGGCATTATTATCATAGGCTCGTCTCCTAGCACTGTTTCCTCACCGTCTAAGGGAATAGTCGTGTGATCGGTTTCTATATCCGTACCCGGTAGTGCGTCAACCACAGACTGAGGCTCAAACTCAGCGGGATTAACCCCAGGCTCTGAACTGGACACAGCATCGGGCATAGATTCGGGTAAGGGGAATGGCTCAATTTCTGGCTCCGTCGGGCCGGATCCGTCTGATGGTGGTAGATCCAGGGTGCCTGGCAGCACCTCGGAATTGGGATCAGAAACAGTTGAATCCGAGTCTTGGGTAGAGTCTGGGTCGACATCGTCACCACTAGGTTGAGCATTTGACTCGCCCTCCACCGGTTGATCGCCAGAAGGTTCGTCGTCCATCGGTGCTTCTTCTGTTTCGGCATATCGATAGATACGTTCAATGTGTGAGAGCCGAGTGTGCACTCAACAAGTGCAAGTGAGTCACGCCCGTTTCTACGCTAACCACACATTGGAATTTTCGAGTCGCCATGCCTACAATAGGTATTCTGGAGCAGCGGCAACTGCGCCATCCACTGCCGGGTAGCGCGTGTCAATGTTTATACGTTGAATGTGCAGCCAGATGCACGTGTCTCAACCAGCGCCTGTGCCATTACACTTGTACACTTGTACACAACTGGGGCGAACGGGCACGCCATACCCTAAATAACCCAACTGCACTAGCAGAGATTATTCGTGCTCACATTTGATCTGTTATATTCTAAGCCTCACATACACTACAAAGTTCGGTCAGAGCTGACACTACATACCGACTGTCTCTGGTCCGGGTTCGACCGTCTGGCGTCTCATATTGATATGCCGCAGATGGTTTTGCATCATCACCATGCCTTGCCCAAACGGCCCAGAGCTTCTCATTCCTCGGCGAATCTGCGATCTCTGCAATAGAGACACGCGCATCTATTTAATGCATGTGTAAAAGCTTCTGCCTACGTTACGTAGATTAAGAGCTTTGTAATCAATGCTCAATCGTTTGCCTGCGCGCTTTCCAATGTATACTTTGATATAAATGCACAAGCATGCAGCTAGGCAGATGCACGGTGTGCCCAGTACATGCACAAGGACGAGTTCATAAACCACCCACCAGAACTACCTGTAATTGAGCAGCGCTCAGTCTATTCATAGCTTCTTGCATGGGCAGCGAAGTGGTTTGCTTGGCCGGATCTTGCACTCGCACATAACCTTTAACGTGAACCGTCTCCCCTTGTCTGTAAAGGCCACGGTCCAGTACCATCACGCTCTCCAAACTGGGCTGTGCGCCAGAGCCACTAGCGCTCACTGGATTTGATATGGCCAACTTGCCCTGCAATAAATACAGAACAATCTGAGATAGGCCGTAGCGAGTGTCTGGCCCGCAGTGGATGGTATGCAAGGTGCGGTGGATGGACTCCGGTGAGGATGACAGAGAGTGCATGAGACAAGATATGATAGCTGCTGCAGTCGACTGCCTGGTGGCAATTGTGCTTTGTCTTCACTTGAGCCCACTACTAAAGCCTTTACCCACGGGCGGGTCCAGGTGTGTGACTACACCTAGGGAATGGTAGCCCAGAAGCACAGCACACAGAACCTACTATTGTCACAGCGCGATTGCACACGTGCGATGACTGAAAATAATCTGCCTCCTCGAGAGGGGCCATCTCGGAGAGGTGCGCTAGCGGATTGCGCGTATAACTGAAGTTACATGGGTTAACTTACATCTTTGTCGAATACAAAGGCTTGCACGGTGAGTCTGCTGTTTCCTTCCGTCTTTGGGTATGGCATGACCGCAACCCTGAATGGTGTCACAAATGTAAAACGTTATTTTTCAGCGAGGACAGAGCAAATACGTTCAATCGAGTGAATTAAATACACGTCCCAAAAATAGCTCGAAACAACTACATTGATGTGAACAGTGCTGTTGTCGAGCGCTCAATATGAGGTTGGACACTACAAACCTAGGTGCAGAAGGGTGGAGTCTAGTCAGACAATTAAACAGCAGTCCACCTGATAAAGTTTTCAGTAGTAGTATACGGAAGCACAGGTGTGCTGCAGGTATATATATATAGTACCTATACTAGGGCGCGTACGTGCTCGCTCCTGACATGATACCTGCACATGCGAGAGTTGATCTATATCACGAGTACAACTGGTGCTACATGTAGAAAAGAAAATACAAATGGCCCGCGCATACGAACACACAAACATAGTGCAGATACGAATACACTAACCCATGAATTCAGTAACAGTATATCGAAAACGTTATTACAATTACAAATAAAACAAGTGCGAAGATACTGACTGTACAACCATGCATACCCAGTGGCATCAGTAGTGGCCTCTCCCAACAGCTCGATTTTGGTTTCTTTGTCATAACTATACGCCAAGGCGGCGGAGGGGTACAAGACCACTTTCAGATCGCTGAGATTATCACCGCTCGTGGTATCAGTTGCCCATACCAATACGTTATGCTGTACACCAAAGGAGACGGATGTTAATGATTGCGGGTGGCTAATATGCACAACAGCAGTCGATCAAACGAAAGATAAGGCACGAAACATGACGCATGAAGCACGTGTGTGCACAACAGCCACAACGACCGGGAATGGGATCGCCCCCCCCCCCCTCCCCCTGAATGTAGCTATTACTAATGGACTGTAGCATAGTTGGTGGTGGAACGTACTCTATGCGTATGCTTATGCAGATCGCCATCACAGCATAGCCGAGCAGACACAGATAAAGTCTCCGGCCATATAAATAACAATTTCGGATATGCATATGTTCATAGGTCATATGCAGATAGTCGCGCATGCCCTGTGGTACTCACCTCTTCTCCCAATACGGAGACGGCGGTAGACGTCGATGAGATGACTCGTGATGTGACGGCATACGCACACGTGGGTGGACGGGTAGAGTAGTTGGCTCTGGTTTCGGTGAAGTAGCGTACCAGCACGGCTCCGGTTTCCTTTATATGAGAATTGGGTTGAACGACACATTCAGTACACCAGCTGGCTTGCGAGTATGCACAGCAATATAGTACGCATGTTAAGTGTATGTAGCTGTGGATAGGCGTCTACCGATGATGGATCGTAATGCATCACCGTAAAAAAAAGAGGCATGCCTCAACAGATTGTCCACGGAGTCGGCAAACTTCTCGCCCAAGCCTTCGCTATCTACTATCTTCGGATAGGGTGGTAAACTGTATAAATCATTCTCGTAGATATATTTCCATGTACTTACGTGGTGTATGTGTTGTGCGTGCAACCCTATCGTTCAAAAGTGCAAAAATAGGTACAGACCCACCATAATACGCAATTACAGATGGTTAACATCACCAGTCATACCAACAATGGCTCTAGCTCGATCTCGAATTCGGACACTGCATATGAGTCGCCTGCGGGAAGCTCCTTCACCAAATCGGGAGTCATCCCAAACTCGGTATAATTCATTACATTACCTATGAGAACCAAACGTATTGACATTTAAAAAATATCTATATATGTATAAAGATTGACGATACTAAAACGTATTGACATTTAAAAAATATCTATATTTGTATAAAGATTGACGATACTAGTCGACCGGATATTAGGGCAATAATATATCTGACGAGCTCCTAGACTATACCTCTTAGGGCGAGCGTGAAATAGCGTTGTTGCTTTGCATAATATCTATACACAAAAACGCATATACACAATATATATTTTTATTCGAATTCAGTGTCTATATACAACAGAAACAGTGAACAAGCGGCTATGAATTAACGGGATAGATAAACAGCTGCACGTGAGCGTCTCCACACCCTTACTCTGAAGTGCGGCCTTCAGACGACACACAGGCCCAAACAGTACAACGGGGTAAAATCCTACGCGCAAATCATTACATACTCTGACTGCGGGCATTGAGAAGTTCCGTCAAGGCGGTCTCGATATTATCTTCTGTGAGAATGTAGGCAACGACGACACGTGGGAGTGGCTCATCCTTGTCCTCTCCAGTCTGAGGGATATAGAGAGGAAGAAGGGTCAATCGATCGTCATATTTAGCGAGTGCGCAATACACTTACAATAGGTACAGAACTACGTTAGGATTGTAGCACTGACAGATAAGTTTGAATGCTCAACTATATGAAAATCACATAACAACAACGCCGAGAAGGCTGATGAAGGCACCAACCTCATAACAGATATATGCCGTGGCCCATATTTTAGTACGAGAGAAATGATGATGTACTCCAGTACGCAACAGAAACAGTGCACAATACGTGTTGTTGTAAGACATGCACCCGCCGACCATTCGAATGTGCAGCACCCATTGCCGTACCAGTAACTGTCTGATCGGTATTCATTGAGTGACATGCATTGCAAACAAATCTGCCTGGTAATGCTGTCAGAGTTCTGCGACGAGGTGGTGCATATCGAAATGAGATCCCGCGCTCGCGCATCCTACGCACAAAAGAGAACACGCCTCACGCGATACTTTGTCGTCGTTGTGCCGAGGGTTTGAATAAACCCTCGCATCGACATGGAAGTCTTCGTGAAAGTTCGTCACCCGCAACCAATGTGCAGATGTGAATATGTAATTCCTCCCAATTACAACTCACACAACCACACGCTACTTACAAAGCAGCTCAGGCCGTTATCTCCCGGTTTATCCATGATGAAGACGGACCACTGGTCCATCATATCCGTTTGGGGGAAGCGATTGATGCCGGAATTTGTGCCACTGTTGATATCATCAGCGTATAGCACACTGCCTACGAGATCCGAAGTGTTTACCCATGTGGGTTTGGTGGCGAGTAGGGGTTGTCCAAATCCGTCCTTGATGTCTTCATTTTGTGCGATTGAGATCTAATTGGCAGCGGAAGATATACCGACAGGTGCGGTTGATTTGAATACCAGACATATGTGATGAAGCTGTAGTCTGTACTAAGACCAAAGGGAATATGGAAATCATTGTACTAACGTCCTGTCTCCTGTAGAAGGCTATGAAAGTCCATGGATGACTCGAAATCCATGGATGACTCGAAAACCGAGAACTAATAATACAGCAATTGAAATGAATAGCACTATACCTTATAGCTACTGTACGGAGCAAAGTCTCCCGCAATCTCCAGCACAGCTCTGTAGGGGAGGCTTGACGTCACATTCAAATCGTCGCCGGTTTCATTGCTCACCATTTTGACGCTGGCCCCAATGGCATCCCGCGACGCGTCGTTTAGCAGACCGTGGTTCAGGAACATTCGATACCGCGTATACTGCATGGGTGTGAAGGGAATGACCTGGCTTTACTTTCAAGTGAGGACTGTTTGTTGCTTGATATGGCTACACTTATATTTCTAGTCTTGCCACGTTTCCATGTACAATATCCCAAACACGCATGTTGACACCGCTCCGTACATAAACCACGCACACACATTCTGCGAGACAACGAACCTTTGATAACTACGTGTAAGATATGGTTCACTAGCTGACCAGAGACTCTGCCTTTTGGCGCACCAGGAATGGTACAACGCACCACGCGAACACTTGGGAATGCAGATACAAAACCACAACAGGCACCTAGTCAAGTAAATATTCTAAACACCAAATACCGTTGCAAATCTGGTCTCGTCCAGAGGAATTTGGAATGGCAATAACCCAACAAGGTACAGACTCAAGTCGGAAGAGAGAGTGGAGAGGGTATTGGTGTTGTAGACGGTACCTGCAAACGGATAGGGGTATGAGTTCGTATCAGTACACAGCATGTAATTGCTGTCCGCGCACCCTGTCTACGACAACCATACGTGCTTTCATCTGTTGCGCAAGAGTGTCAACTGCCATTTTATACACACAGCCTGCTGCCGCTGTACAGAAATGATTGGGTCATGACCACACTGGTGCCTTTGGATGCATTATTCGTTGCTATGCGCATGGAATCGCAAAGGTATTCAATATTGAGCTGCGATTAATACCTGCAGATGTATCGCCACATCATGCATACGCGATAGTTTACTCAACTAACTCTAATTACAAGAGGCGCATGTAGTAGCTAGGACGGTTTCGCACCAAAAATCCACATCTTTCGGCTCTACATATACCAACCGGTCCTCACCTGCCCATATATACGATATATACTGCCCCATCACTACAGGTACACACTATGGAGAAGCTAGAACATACCAGCCGCTACAGTCAACTGATAGTCGGTGTCGTTCTTCAGACCGGTCTTGGGTATGACCTTGAAACACGCTGTCTGGAATTCATCAGCGTTCGTGTTACTATCATCCTGTGCATCTGCATCGCTGCACAGTTCCACATCGATCTCGACACCGTCCCCGGCGCTATCATCGCAGGTAGACCCTTCTGTGGGTTGCGCGCAGAGTACCTTGATGCTCTCCAGGAGCACATCCGTGTCCAGACGTCTCGCATCTGGTATACAAATTAGTGAAAGTATATCAGGGTCGCGGGCTAGATGAGGAACCAGCGTGCAAGTCAACAAATAACACAACAACCCCAGACCTACTGATGTATACTGAACATGGAGGATATAACATAACCCAATTCTCTCGTGCATTTCAGCTACAGCTTCCACATGCCTCACTCCAGCCTGTGTGACTACTAGCAAGGTATTCGTGCGAAACTAGCACTCACATACCAGCGCTGAAAGTGACTTCTAAGTAGGCGTCCGGGGGCATTTCGTACGCAGTGTCTCCATGGAAACGGCTATTTAAAGCCACACGTGAGTCCCAGCGCCCCTCAGTGTATTCACTAGCCTGTTCGGATACGACCTTCTTCAAGGTCCATCGTAAACTCGGTGTGGAGTATTTGCGCTGCAATTCCTGCATATCAGATGCAAATACATAGGCACCCGGCTATAACGGTTAGAAAAAGAAAAGCGCTGACCAACTAAAATGTTCATACAACGCCAAGTCAGGCAGATATGGGATTCGACAATAGAATTAGTTTTGACTGTACGAGGTGATCTGGATTTCAACACAAAAATACCTCACGCGACCGAGAGAAAAATAGATACAGCGGCCACTGGATTAGGTGTGTTTATATAACGTGGGGTTTGGCCACTGGACTAGGTGTGTTTATATAACGTGGGGTTTGACCACTGGATTAGGTGTGTTTATATAACGTGGGGTTTGGCCACTGGATTAGGTGTGTTTATATAACGTGGGGTTTGGCCACTGGACTAGGTGTGTTTATATAACGTGGGGTTTGACCACTGGATTAGGTGTGTTTATATAACGTGGGGTTTGGCCACTGGATTAGGTGTGTTTATATAACGTGGGGTTTGGCCACTGGATTAGGTGTGTTTATAGTGGGGTTTGACCACTGAATTAGGTATGTTTATATAACGTGGGGTTTGGCCACTGGATCAGGTGTATTTATATGACGTGGGGTTTGGCCACTGGATTAGGTGTGTTTATCTAACGTGGGGTTTAACAGCAAAACGGCCCACACGCAGTCAGAAACAGAATAAGTGCATGGACAACCAACAACATATCTGTAAGAACTAGATATATTGTGCAGTACCAACGCCGGATCACGGTTGTGTCGTTGGTACAAGTCAATGGTCTAAACTACCATAACACGTGTGATGTAAGACCCGCACAATCAAAGTACACACTGATCCCGAGCATAGGCCCACAATATAGAATCAGACTGCATATACGGACTCATATACATATCGCTTACCGCGTCATTCTCAGCGCTTATTACCACTCCATCGAAGGTCGTCAGATCATCCGGCACTACAACTGTGAACTTCACATCCGTAGGCCAGCCGCCAATGGGTGTGAATCGTGCGATGGACGTTGTCACCCAGCGCATCACCCCATCAATGTTACACTCCTGGGCCTGCACGTGAGATCAGCGAATTGACATTAAACGAAGGGATCATACGCAAGCATAATATATTATTAACACCACAAACTGGACCCTATCCGCGTGAATGGTAACCTTGAAATCGCACTATCTGTGCCGAATCAAACCATGAAGGTATTCTCTTTCAGTAGTTGTACGCAATAGTTAGAGAAATCACCCACCTCTTGATCACCGTTTTCGCATACGAACTTCATGGGGACCAGATCATCAGGCAGTTCCGCGACCTCTCCTTCTTCACCGATCACGAGATCAGAGCCCAATGCGATTACTGTGAAAGAAGTGAGGCAAGGCTTCTTAAGAAGTGGTACTACAGAGATAAAAACTACACAAACGTCCATATATAAGAAAAGGGACCACGAAGATAACAATTACACAAATAGATTGACAAGAAATCTATATA